AGCTCTATACAAGAAACTTTGAGTAGCAAATATACACTGTTGGCATAGATGGTCAAAGTACAATTGTCTCTCATTAGCTGGGGGAAAACTTCCAATAATTTGTCCCCGTCTGAAACAACATTCTAATATTTCTAAGTTTAAGGTCAGCCACTCCCACTTGCAAAGTCAAAGTAGTGTTGCCAAACGACAGTTTAAAGTGAATGGCATGCTTATAACTAATAGAAAGAGCCAATTTTTCACTATTCAGTTACAGCCTGAAAAAAACCTCTACCTGTGTATGGATCTGTGGTTTGATATAGAAAAGAAGCTTAGTCCATTGTTCTCTAGAGGGGGTATGTAGTGGTTGGGAAGTGTTTCTTATCTTATATGTATTAGTTTGCTAAACAGTTAGATTCCATTTAGGTTTTACATTTATATCTTAATTAATTATGTATTATTTCTGTTTTAAAATGAAGATTTGAAATGTTTATGATTTTTAAACATTTAACTTGTTGTAGTTTGGCTTGTCAAAACGTCTAAGTAAAATGCCATTATTTGTGTGTGTTTGAGCATAGATGTTTCGAATTTGTGCACGAGAGTCGCCCCATAATAACAACAGAGCATCGCGGGGACATGTTGACATCATGAATAAAAGACAAAGAATTGAAAAGGAAAATTAACTACAAGTGAAAATATAAAGACGTGAAATTATGCACGTGACAAAAAGAAGTTTGAAAACTACTTTACGAATATTTGAAAAGTATGTACATACCTAAATCAAGTTTAGGCTAGTCATTAGTCTTAGTTGTATTTTTTCTGTTATTCCATACACATAGGCTTACTATGGTCTTTGTTATTTTAGGATTATCTGTAATTCATATTACTGGTATATCAATAATTAATATCACTGTGTTGTTTTTCTTCCTATCTACTTGGTTTGTGTAGAATTCTTGAGCTGGGATCTACACACACGTATCCCAGTATTTTACATAGTTATTGTTTGGTTAATTATTTCTTTAAGGGCTTAGTGATATTCTTTGTTACATATTTTTTAGTTAGGCTTTTTAAATGTTTACTTTTGGTTTACTGGTAGTTCTGCTTCTGTGTTAATCGTTAACCCTTTGACTACGACCTACTTCTTTTTGTAAGTAGGTTTGTAAAATCATGAAAGTTCTTTACAAAAATGAAACTAGTCAATGAAATAATTTTATATTTGACTTGAACGGTCCTAAGATTATGTAGTTTTAGAAAAATAAAATATTTAATTTTGATTTTTCTATTATTTATAATGAAACATTTGTTATATAATTTAGTTATTTGCACTCAGACTCTGAATAGTTCACATGCAATGTGATTTTCATTTTCAGTATAACAATACTATTTCTTATCTCTCAGTTTTCACATTTGATCTACATTATCTCTAGAACCTCCTAAATGAATATCAAAAGTTTTTTAAGGTAAATATTAAAATTTTGTTTTCCATTTTCTCTGTTATATCAGTAACTCTATATATCATCATCAACGTACAGTGTAATCAAATGTTTAGAATTAAGAAATGGATTCATCATGGTTTCTATCAATGGATAGCCATTAGACAACACGTTTTTTGAAGATTCATCATGGTTTCTCTCAATGGATAGCCATTAGACAACACGTTTTTTGAAGATTCATCATGGTTTCTATCATATCATCAGTGGTGATGCAGATTTTAAAAATATTTTGAAGTTGATCAATAATGATGTTTAGTAGCTCGTCAATGGTGTGGACCGTATCTAGACAGCAGATGTTTACATATTGAAATGTTTTACAGATCTGCTAAAATATCATTCAGCATTTGTAAGATGATCATTGAAGAAATTAGCAAATTGAGAATTGATTAATAAATATCACCTTCATTGTGCAACTGTTTTTGCAGAAATATTAGATATGATCAAGAAGAAAAGGATGAGCTAGATATTTACTGTTAAATCATAAATTTGTAGGAGGTTTTGCATCTCCAAGGGCTGCTATATTCAGTGAGAGGAGGCAAAGAATTTTGTTGCTCCGTATCAAAACTTTTTCTGTGTTTCAGAGTATTTTCTCTTAATTTCAGGGACCCCTGGGACGCTACCCACTCTTTATATCATATTCACGGGTGTCATACATGTTTAAAAGAGCTCTCATTTCTTGTATTTAAAGTATTGAAGTTGTAGCAAAGTTTTCATGTCTAAGTTGAATAATTACATTCACAAATAATAGTAATGTTCATTGGTTTACTTACCATATCGCTTGTATCTTTTTTTCTAGGACACATACAGAGTAGAATAGTGTATTATCTGATGAATATTCACATCACTCCACGTTCAATCTACCTAACTCGAGTAAGTTTTGTGTGTGATTGTGGAATTGTTATAGTTATATTGTTTCTATAATGTAACTATAGAAACAGTTTTAATGATTGTAGAATCAAGTTAATTTTGATAGTTATTAATAAATCTTTAGTTAGTTGGATGAGGATGGAACTGTTCTTTAAATAATAACCTTCAAGGGTAACTATAGGAGAAACTTATAATGAAATTGTTTTAGCACTATTTTGAAATGTTTCTTGGTTACTTAACAAAATTTCTTAAAACAACAAAAATGTAAAGCTATTCTTATATTTTTTTATTTTAATTATTCAATAAGTTTAAACAAGACTAAAGTTGAAACTTTTAAATTCACATCCCCAGCATGGAGAAAGCAAATTCAACCTACAAGGTCGTATTGGTGGTGATTCTGAACTGTCTGAAAGGGGTTGGGAGGTAATGATTTTAAAATTCTTTTACACAAACTCATATCAGTGGTTGAGATTATCACATTAAAGTGATTTTTTGTTTTTTTAAATGTCTTAATGTTTCAAATTCTACATTGTTTTTATTATTGACAAATGAACATTTATTTATTCATGGTATTTTGGTGAAAATGAAAGATTAATACTGGCATTAGTTTTATGTGAAATGTATTTAATGTAATATGCTTGTCATGGGTAACGCACATTACTCAAAAATTGTTTTAGGACTGTTAAGATTTTCCTACAAAAAGTAGTAGTACCACACTTTGTACACTTTAAAATGAAAGTCCTAATGTTATTTTATTTATTGTTATAGCATTATTTACTAGTGCTAGAACAGGTAGAGATTAAAATGGATACAGGTATGGTAGGTAACTACAAAATGTCATCAACTAATCCAGATTTTTTAAATTAAATTTTCCACAGTATTCACGAGCACTTGCCAAATTTATAGTAGACCAGAAAATTCCACGTTTCCGGGTGTGGACGAGCCAGCTTCGTCGAACAATTCAAACAGCCTCGGGAATAGAAGCCCCACAAGAACGCTGGAAGGCCTTGAATGAAATAGATGCTGTAAGTTGTTGTGGCCAATAGGAAGTTACTATATATGTGTTTCTATTTGAAGGTTTTCTTATTTCTCTAGTTGATTCACAGTGGACTACCATGTTCCAATACGGTACATTACCTCCGCTCACATAAATAGCTATTATTGTCCAGTGCTGCCCTCTATGTGCAAAAAAATTTGTATGCATGCCACAAGCCTTCTGCCTCCCCTTCATTGGAAATGACTCATTCCAATGTGTCTCTCATGCAAATCATCATGTGACAACCCTCCACCAATGAGAGTGCCACTCACTCGTTAAGCATGTGACTTCCTCTATTCAGTTCTACCAGACTATCACTTCTTGTTTGGCAGTTCTCATGTTTTAACGTTTAGTTTGTGTTCTCTCTAAGTGTTTTATTTTAATATTTTTCTGTATCTTTGTGTTAATTTCTCTTAACAAGTTTACTCTTTGTTAAACAATAGTGATATTTGTAACTTGTTGAGTTAATTCCGAAGTGGAATTATTTTATATTTCTATCTGGTTACGGAACTTATTTAGTTCTTACAAAAAACTTCTATTGTTTCTACCAACACAGTTGTGTTTGGTTATTTATTTTGCATTATGTATTTTCTGTTACCACTTTGGAGGTTATATATTCTGTTAGCACTTTACACAGGCTTCAGGTCACGGTACTCTGTGGGAAGATTTTGAGCTTTACTTTGTTGGGAAATTGATCGTCCTATGAACTGACCTTCTTCGGGCCTCGCCCACACATTTGGGGGCCCACACATTTGCAATACAGTTTGCCGACTTTGGAAAGATAAGACGTCATACTTTTATTGTTAATATTATTATCTGTCGTTATTTGGGTTCCGTAACATAAGTTTCATTTGATTGATTAATACTCATTTTCACAAAACATGTGTTGTCTAATGGCTATCTATTGAGAGAAACCATGATGAATCTTCAAAAACGTGTTGTCTAATGGCTATCCATTGAGAGAAACCATGAT